TAACATCCCCGGAGGTAGAAACGGGACCATATTTTGCTTCATTTCGTTATTAGTAGTTTGGAGTGTTGATTTTGTTTTGTGTGGAATTGCAATGTATCTGAACGGCATGATCTGCGAATTGCGAATGGTTTAATATCGTCAAGATAAGTAAACAAAACCCAGCCGTTAATTTTAACAGACTTACCACTGATTCATTTTTATCAAATACAAGTTCGGGGAAATCGATAAATGGGATATCACATAGTTGCACTGTTGATTAATAAAAAGGGATAAAATTCTTATCTTCTGTTATAAAAGCTTGCAGCGCAGTCGACATGATAACATCCGGGCTTGAACAATCCTAACCTTTATCTTCAATTATTTTTTTGGTGACGTTAAAGGCCGTGTCCGTTGTCATCTGTAACTGCCCCAAATGTCTTGTCGCATGGACGAAGGGACATAATTCACTTGTCCTATCTATCCAGTAACGAATGGTTATCACAAGTCATTCATCATAAAGAATTCATTTGCAAAACACTCACCTCTGGGCGGATCATCCCCCAATATGCCGCCAAATAAAAAGTAATCAAATGCTTGTCCATCCTCAGGCTTTAGTTGTTGCTCCGCATTGGGATGCAATAGACAGATCTTACTTTTATTTATCCCCATCTCATCTACCGTCTCTCGTCGCAACTGTGCCCCATCCAGTGCTTGAAGTTTCTTCAATACAGTGATTTCAGCATCTTTCAGTCTAGTGATGATAATATTTGGTGGAAAGACAGATGTCGCAATGTGGGAATATTCCAGTATACACCATTCATGTAAGTCTGTCTCCATATGTTCTAAACGCACGATAATTATTGAACAGGCTCGACTCGGTTATTTGAATTTGCCCTAACAAACTTTAAAATTACACTCACCAATAATGTATTTGTGAGTCATCTTGGCGAGAAATGGATTTTCATTCTTGCCGCTGCGTAATTTAATAATTTTTGGTTTTGTACCACATGTCAACCAATGGTAGATAAATATTAATTTCTCACCTCACCTTACTATGACGAAAAATAAATTTGCGTGAAAAATTACTACTCGCTCACGCTTCAGCAATCATGATGAAAATCGTGCCCCTCGGTGCTGGACAAGATGTCGGAAGAAGTTGTATCATAGTAACTATGGGAGATGATAGCACAGGAACAAGGAATATTATGTTTGATTGCGGAATGCATATGGGATATAACGACAAGAGAAGGTTCCCGGACTTTTCTTACATATCAAAAACTGGTGGCAACTTTACAGAAATGTTGGATTGTATTATTGTTTCTCACTTTCATTTGGATCATTGTGGTATGCGATAAATGGAATTGCCAAAGATATCTCAGAGTAAAGCCTATTTAAAAGCTTACCAATTCCTGCTTCGAATATTTTCTTTTTATAGGGGCTCTTCCTTATTTCACCGAGATGTGTGGCTATGATGGTCCAATATTTATGACCTATCCAACGAAAGCAATTTGTCCCATATTATTAGAAGATTACCGTCGTATTACGGTAGAGAGAAAGGGTGAAACAGACTTTTTCACTGCCCAGATGATCAAAGACTGTATGAAAAAAGTGATAGCGATGAATCTTCATCAAACTGTCAAGGTCAATGGCGATGACGACTTTGAAATCAAAGCATATTATGCTGGACACGTATTGGGCGCGGCTATCTTTAGCGTGCGGGTTGGTCAGCAGACGATCGTCTATACTGGTGATTATAATATGACACCTGACAGACATCTTGGCGCCGCGTGGATCGATAAGGTAAGGCCAGACGTATTAATAACGGAGAGCACTTACGCAACAACCATCAGAGACTCGAAGAGGTCACGCGAGCGTGATTTTTTGAAGAAAGTTCATGACTGTGTTAACAACGGAGGGAAAGTTCTCATCCCCGTCTTCGCACTGGGCAGAGCACAGGAATTATGTATACTCATTGAGACGTATTGGGAGCGGAATAATTTGACTGTCCCAGTCTACTTTTCAGCAGGAATGACAGAGCGTGCCAATGAGTATTATAAACTATTCATCAATTGGACAAACGAGAAAATCAAATCAACATTTGTACATAGGAATATGTTTGATTTCAAACATATTCAAGCATGGAATAGAGCATACTTGGATAAGGAAGGGTCAGCAGTGCTCTTTGCCTCTCCGGGAATGTTGCATGTGGGCACAAGTTTAGAAGTGTTTAAGAAATGGGCACCCGATCCAAAGAACATGGTCATAATGCCCGGTTACTGTGTAGCAGGAACAGTCGGGGCAAAAGTACTAGCTGGTGAGAAGAAAATACAAGTCGATGCGTTTACTGTTATTGATGTCAAGTTGCAAGTTAGGAATCTGTCGTTTTCGGCACATGCGGATGCAAAGGGCATAATGCAATTGATTAAACAATGCGAACCAAGGAATGTGGTATTGGTACACGGTGAAAAGTCAAAGATGGAATTCTTGCAGGAGAAGATAAAGAGAGAGTTTCCTGAAATTGATGGATGCTTTTTTCCTGCAAATGGTACTACCATTTCCATAGATACTAGCCTTAACATTCCTGTAGATGTTAGTGTAGGATTGCTTAAGAAATATCTGGCTGAGAAGAAATCACAAACAAGAGCAAACAACAGCCTATGGAGCATTAATAAAGTAAAGCCATATCATAGTGTTCCAATATCGGGTATGCTCATAATGCAACCGAATAAACCAGTTCGTTTACTTACTCCCACTGAAGGTGCATCTGAACTTGGTCTGCAACTACATGAATTGACTTTTGATGTGTGGAAGATTATTGATGATCAAGTGTTTTGGAAGAAATGGGGTTCACGAGTGAGTGGACTTGGGAAAGAAATACGATTTGCTGCATTAAGGGTTGTAGAAGATGCATTGGTGAAGAGATTTGGTGATGATCTGTTGATCACTAGAGAAAAGACAAGGATTGTTGTTAGGACTTTTGTTGTAGCAATAGTATCAGATGCTGCGAGTAGATTAAAGATAACATGGAACTATAGAGATGAGGAATTAGCTAATGCTCTGATGGCTATTGTTGATGATGTACTCCCATGAGTCTTTTATTACTAATAAACTCAAAAGACAAAAACAAAAACAAAAACAAACATAATAATAATAATAAACAAGAGAAGTAAGACTCACAAAAACGCTAGGTCTGTTAACATAATCAAATGAATTATGTCTTTATTAGTAGATTAGACATATAAAGAAAACCTGATGAGAAACTTTTGTCTTTTAATCTTTCTACAAAGATGAGTTTAGCACCTAATATTAAATTAATAAAATAATACGGAAAATGGTAGTATTTAAGCATCATAGTACATAGGTCGTTGAAATTATATCCAAGAAGAAATTCACCGAGCTTGTTATCATTACTGAAATCAAATACTGATTCTAGAGAATTTTTCTGAGCTATAACCCTCAGATTAACGTTTTAATATAGTATATCCATCCAAACATCCCGTTTACGTTGGCGCTCCTTTGGAACGTCTGCACATTCTTCTTTTCGTTAATAGCATGCTTCCTCTGAAGAAGTCCTTAATAGAAAATCAAATTTAAATAATTGTCAGATACTTTCAAAAGATTATTTTTCGGATCATTGGCTCAAATAATTATCTCGTTCAATGAACGCGCGAATGAGCTGGTGGTGTACATTCAGAGCTGATTTTTGTAGCGTTGATGCTACTGCTCATTACAGTTATGATTGAGCACAAAATGTTCACGTCCCCATTCAGATCAACAAGTAAATAAAATTTACTATGTCAGTCCGCGTAAAGTACATTTATTTGGTATTCAGGATGAAGCAGTACGCAAACAAATTAATTACATTCTCGATGAGGAATCAAGCTCTAAACATTTATTTTCAGCAATTCATCAGGACAACTGATTGAGCTCTGCAAAGAAATAATTAATGTCAGAAATTAGTATAAGTATTATCTAATCGATTAACTAACCAGGAAAAAAGGATGACCATTCCTACTTTAATGGGCCTGATTCATTATAAGAAAGGGTTCTCCTGGGAGCAGAAATGTTCATAGTGACTTAGCACATGTGTTGCACATCAAAACTTGCATGATATACAGAAAAAAAAGACTCGCCATTTCAGCAACATGTTTCTTGCCAAGACTTACAATAAGCATGACGTATTCTTCCGTCGACGAGTTACACCAACATTCCCAGCCGCAGCGTTTCCGTTTCATAGCCGCTCAATAGCCATTGGATCAAATAACGAAACAGATTTGGATATAAGCGGAAGGTTACAGTAGATTGGAAACAGATTTCGCCGTATGCAGAATTGTTTCGTTTTATTTAATCCTTATGTATTTATTAGTTTAGAGTATAGAATAGCGCAGTAGGCGCAGAACTCGAAATAGATATATAAGCAGTCGTAATTTCCTTAACAAACGGTGTCTTCAGTTGAATAGATTCGATCTTGAATCTAATAATTGTAATATTTCCTTTATAATATAGTTAAATCAAATAAACATATTATATTCATAAATAGTATTCTCTGATCTATATTGTGGTATCGCGGATAAAGTATTAAAACGCTTTCTTGATCAGCGATAGAATAGTATCGACCTTGCCCTCGGTATTATCGTCCCTTGACAATAAACATTTCTAATTAATTGAGACATCGCGATTAGTAAAATAGTTTCCCAACCTATAGGCTTTCGATATTAATCCCACCGAACGTATTTACTCGAGGTTAATTAGAAATTTAGAAATCCAGAGAAAGCGTACGCAAGACCGAACTCATAATCGTGAGCGTTTAAACCCAACATAAAGGTCACCAATTGTCATAGCGGATTTAACCGAAGTAGAGATAGTCAAGGATTCCGTTGGAAAAAGGCTAAATCTCAAGGTCCCCGAGTATTGGCTCGACAGTGTCTGAACTCAGGTGAGCCTTTTACCACTTGTATTCTTCCTGGTTCAAATTTTTCCCTCTGTGCTCTTGCTTTCATTGCTCTGAACAATGATATTGTAGAATGCATAATATTCTATACATCACAGGAACACAAGGGGATAAAAAAATAAATAAATCAAACTAATTGCAAAAAGGAAAATAAATTTCAACCAACTTTGACTCGCAACATTTCACGTGTAATGTCGACAATGTTTGCAAGTTCTTCATATGTAGTGGGAATTTTGAATTCTGAGAGGTGAACTGATGCATAGAATCCAGCGCCAACATATCAACAAGAATTACGCGGATGAAAAAATAGGAAGAAACAAATGCTGGCATTAGGAGTTTTGGGAATGCATCCAGTACTGGTTTCGAGAATGCACCAGCACCAGCTGTAGAAATGTTGTTGTACGAGCGGTGGTGTTGTTGTTGTTGTTGTTATTATTATTATTATTATTATTAGGTATAATTGTATTATTGAGAACGTTGCTGGGATTTCCTCGATAATCGTTCGTACAACTGATTAAGCTCTCGACGATGTAAACCTTAACAAGTCCAGTGTATGCCAGTATTATTCCACCGTAAGAGTTATTCCATTATTCTTCGACCAAATCCTAAGTGGGAAAGGTGCAGAAACTATTCGAACTTTGGTTGTTTATATATCTAAATTGCTACTGCGGTATAGCTATTCTAAAATCTAAATGGTCCATAGCTATTGCTAAAATATTGATTAAATTTACGTCAGATATTTACATGTTTGTGTAATACATTTAAGTGATTATCTGACGGGAGAGCAGATAGTAATTGACACTTGGGATTTAGCTAGTCTCGACGGAGCGTGGCGCCTCCTATTCTAGTTAAATTTCTGGTTTACAGTTAGTGACCTCGTCAATTCAAGGCTTTCCACTTACGTCGTAGAATGACGCTAATCCCGGATATATTAATCGTACTCGAGTATGTCTATCGGTTACTGTCGTGGGATAAAGTCGATAGTCTCCCG